GTGCCCGCGGCGCCGCCTCGCCCTGAACGCTCTCTTCCCCGTGTCCTGCAGGCTCTCGTGCGGCGTCATGGCTCAGAGGGCCTTCCCGAACCCCTACGCCGACTATAACAAATCCCTGGCCGAAGGCTACTTTGACTCTGCCGGGAGGGTGAGTTTGGGCCCCGCCGCCTCGTCCGCCCGGCCCCCGCCCCACGGCGGGCCGCGCGAGGGGTCGCAGTGCCCCTCCGGAAACGTGTGGTTTGAGAAAAAATCGTACAGGAAATAAGTTTCAAATATATAACGTACACTAGTGTGTTTGTAAAGTATAAGGGCGGATGTGAGATGAAGAAATAACCGCAATCATTGAGAATATGAATTATAAAGATGTGGGCTATACAGTTCACCAGGTCGCGGGCATTTTTCATCCGTTTCGCTTTGCTTCCCAGGGAGAGGAAACCCTGACGGTGCCCAGGGCGCCCACGTGTGCGCGTTCCTGCGGAGACGGCACCGGCGTGCGCGGGTGGCGGGGAGGGAGGCGGTGTGCGAGAGTCATCCGCCCTTAAACTGACGCTGCTAAGAGAAATGTGGGAGAGGGCTTCAGATTCTTCCTCCTCAGCACGCTTTGCAGGACATCCCAAAGCTGGAAAAGTAAAGATAAACAGCAGAGCGTGAAACGAGTTAGCAAGTCACAGAGCACTTGCCCGAGACCAGTCTGGGTGTGTGACGCCACGGCCTGTATGTTTTCTCAGACTTTTCTGGGTGAATTCTTGGGGAATACAGCACTTTTAAGCATGCGTCGTTTGAGAAATCCTACATGCACACACGCTTTTTTTTTTCGTCCCAATTTACTTGAAACTTAGCCCAACACAAAAAGCATTTCATATGTGATATAGTGGTCTCACAGCTTTCATGTGCGTGGAGTTTGCTTTATGTGGCTGTATTGGTACAGCCCTTAAAATATTGGTCATTATAGATTAACTTGGGTCAGTAATGCAGGTGGGAGGGTTGGAAGAGATGGAGAAGAGGTATAGGGTCGAAGGCTACAAAAGTATACAGTATATGGATTTTAAATAAAATCAAAATATTTCAGGGGATTAACATTTTTGCAACTTGACTCCAGTGCCTTCAAAGCAGCAGATACCTTGATTTGTGGTTATTTTAACAAAATGACTTTTTTATTATAAGACAAGTAGTGGTGGTGACGCACACCTGTAATCGTAACCCTCAAGAGGCTGAGGCAGGAGGATCAGTGCGAGTTCGAGGCCATCCTAGGCTACAAAATGAGTTCAAGGCCAGGCTGAACTGCCTAGTGGAACCCTGTGTCAAAAAGACCAAAATAATAATAAGACAAATACTGGTTTAAATAATAGATGATCCTTATTGAAAATCTTCGTGTAAAACATTTAAGTTATAATAATAGTTCTTGCTTTGAGTAGAAAAATAGTACCTTTTCATTTTGTGAATCTGCTATTGTTGATTGACTTCTCCCAGACAGAAAAGCAGGACTTAGGTGAAAATGAAATACTGTACTCTCCAGTTTCTGCCCGCATAGAGTACAGGAAGCTTTTTGATACTTGTTTTCCCTTAATCTCTACAGCTGACTCCTGAGTTCTCACAGCGCTTGACCAATAAGATTCGAGAGCTCCTTCAGCAGATGGAGAGAGGCCTGAAGTCAGCAGACCCTCGAGATGGCACTGGTTACACAGGCTGGGCAGGTATGGAGCTGCCTGTGTGAGTCTCACACAGGCGAGCCAGAGCCTTGTCTCTGCTTGAGGGCCACACCCGGGAATGTTTGCTGCATCGGCAAATGAGTCACTCCCTCCAGGGGCTGCTGTGCTCTCCACCCAGTGAGGCACCCCCTCCCGGTGCGTCCCCAGGGCCCTGAATTTAGGACATGGTACCCGTACAGAAAAACATAGTCATTGCTAGTTGGTGTGTAGTATTACCAATCTAAGAACTTGGAAGAACTTGGGAAGAAATGGTGAGAGAGAGAGAGAGAGAAACCACAGAAGGAAAGTTGAAAAACTACTATAGTTTACCTAATATAGAGGGACAGAAAAAGGGAAGCATTCAAAAAACTGTTTCCCATTTACTCTGACAAATGGACAAAGGAGTAACTTTGGTGGTTTAAGGACTTGGACTTTACGGCATGGTATTTTATGTACTGGGCCTCACAGCACAGATTTGGATTCTGTAGCTGGTGAGCCAGGCCCAGGAATTCTACCTTGTGTTTTACAAGCATTGGTGATCTCCCTGCAGATGGTGATACATAAACTGTAGCAGGAGAGCTTCTTCATGAGAGGAATTTTCTGTAGCAGTTCCTTAGCAATGCTTTTTAGTAAGAAGTGATTTTGTTTTTCCTTGTGAGGGTAGGGAAGGCAAATAAAATTAGTAAAATTAAAATTCCTGGGAGTCTTAATGTCAGTATTTATCATAATAGACTAGATAATTTTCAGTTACCCCAGGTGCTGAAATATTAAAATTAGTATTTTTGTAGATTTTAGAAGCTTGATACAAGAAATGTTAACATAAGAATAAAAGCAAGTATTTAAACCTTAAGAAGGAAGTTACAAATATTAACAGTTGTGTTGCAGGTCTAGTGTCATTGGTAAAACAGTCCTATTAGAGAGCAGCACTGTTTTTTTTTTCCTTCAGAATCCTCCAAATTGAAACAAAAGGAGACAACTGGAGTACACAGTTGCCTGTAGCTTTCCTCTTGATTGCCACATGGAAGTAACACATAAGGCCCAGACCAGAGTTTCAGAATTTCTTTTATTTTATTATATCAAGCTAAAAATCAGAAAAGAGAGAGAGACTAAAATAAATGGTTAGACTTAATTCAAAGACTGATTACAAAAAGAATGACTTAAACCTCTGAGTCACCCATTCAGATTAGCTTTTATTATTATAAGGCACCTTTCTCTGGAAGGAAAAGAAGTAGGAATTGATTTCAAGTTTGAGTTAATGACAGTGTTAGGAAAGCCATCAGCCAGACCTCCCTAATTGCTAAGGCTAGTTGAAAAACTAAAAATGGAGCTTTCTTTAGAAAAAGAAATTTTACTCCAAAGTAAAATGCAAATTCTTTAAAATTTGTGACTGTATGCGATTTCTAGCATCGTCTTGGATGCCAGTATCTTTTGTCCGTAAATATCTCTGACCCTCCTTGCTGGCCCTGAAAGCAGCTTATATGGCAAGTGTCTGAAGCAGACTGGCCTACTAAGCATTTTAGGATGTCTTCATGTCTTCGGATGCTGGTTGTTGTGTGATACAGCATAAAATCTCCTAGATAAATGTGCTAATGGCTTTTGAGGCAGGATTCCTAATGTCCCCTAATCAAACACTGTTAAAAAGCCATTATCCCCGCATAAATACACTATCTTCTCCAGTGTTCTGATAAGTAAAATTGTGCCTTGGGCCAGTGTTCAGAAAATCTGAATAACATAAAACTCTGAGTTGCCTAAGAAACTAGATCTGATTTGAGCACAGAAAAATCATGTTAAAACCTGCTCCTCTTAGGTTGTAGTTCAACAACTTGTGTCTGTTCACAGCTGCAATTACCAAAAAAGTTCATTCACAAAAACACAATAAAACTACTCGGTGTTTTGTGTCAAAGCAATATTTATATAAGGATGTGTATGTTTGTGAATTGCTTTGTGTATGCCCCTGTTATCTTTCTAAAAATGATAGTTCTTAGAAAACAAGAATTATAGTTCTTTAACTTTGTTCAGCAACAAATTGAGGACCATATTTTAAAAGTATTACCTTATTGTTTGCTCTTGTTGCTAACTTGTCCAAAATTGTGTTACTTTGGGAAACATTAATTCATTGTAGAAGACCTTTGAAACTTTTCCTCAGTATTGATATTTAATGCATATTTGGTATTGTACCTTGAAAACTTACACAAGTTATTATTCTATTACTATATAGTTTGTATGAGAAACTGTGTGATTATAATTAGTTAGAACTTTAAGTGACTGTTTTTTCCTGTTAAATTTTATTTTCCAATAGAAAGATGGCCTAATAGCTAATGCTGATCCAGATAGGATTAGGCCTTGGAGTATAGATAGGTTCAGCTGTCTATACCCAGAAAAAAAAAATTGTAGTGGTTTAAATTAGGTAGTGTACTTCTCTCTCATGTGAAAGAACCCCAGAAGGAAGCAGTCCAGGGCAAGTGTGGTAGCCTCAGGATGTCAGTAGAGACCCTGTCTGCTTTCTTTCGGCCTCATTCCTCAACCACTAGCTGTACATCTTGGTCAAGATGGCTGCAAAAGAGCCAACCATTACGTCAGTTTTTCAGGCTGCTGGAAGGAAGAAGAGGCAAAGAAGAATGCATTCCTATCCTTAGAAATGACTTCTTAGAAGTTCTACTTTGTGTTTCAGTTCTGCCTATGTTGCATTGGCTGGAACATAGTCACAGGGTCACTTTGTCAAGAAACGTAGTCACGGGGTCACTTTTGTCAAGAAAGAAGGATGGCAAATGTAGATTGTTACCTGAGGTTCTGCTCTTATTAAAGCAGAGCAGATTGTTAGATAAAACCTAGTAATCTCTGTTCTAACTCCAGCAGAAAAATCATCTTTATTCTGTGTTTTGCACAAACCATTCAGACAGTGAACCTTAGTTTTCCATTTGCAGAAGGATCTCTAACTTTTGTCCACTTGGTGGGGAGTGGATTTTCGTAAGAATAAATTTATGAATAACAAAATATTTTGAAATTTTCTAAGCAATATTTTATCTGCTCTTTGTCTTTAGGGAGACTCATTTTGTTTCATGATATCTTAATTCTTTACATCTTTTTCTTTATTTCTATACTTAATAGTCTTCGTAAAGCCTGCTCTAGAAAAAAGTATTGCAGGGATGCCAAATCCTATTTCTAGAGCTAATCATAGTTCTAGAGGGAACTGCAGCTAATTCTAGAATGAATATTGTGAAACATTGCTGTTTCCTCAGCTTGATTAATATTTTTCTCCTCTCCTGCTTTCTCTGAAATTTGCATTTGCTGTTGTCAGAGTCTGAAGCCCTTAACTTGCTTCTATCACGAGTTCGAGGTAGGCCCTACAGTCACAGGTCTCCGCTTGTACATCGTGACTCTCAAGCTGCGTGACTTCCTGTCTTTCATTCATATTGTGTATAGATTTGTCTCTGTTGCTTATTTGATCTTGAAAATGAGAGGTCTAGTCAGAGGATGAAGCACTTTTTCTGTTTAATTGTACACATGTACTTAAGACCAAAACCTTGGAGTGTGATAATTTTTCCCATTTCCTCTCTTTTCAGCAAAAACTCAGACTAGTGATAACAATATGCTTTCCAAAATTTCTGCTAGAGCATCTCTGTGTTATATATACTTTGGGAAATGATTATTACAATTAGAACTTTACCATTTTATTGTTGTTGTTTGTTGTTTTGTTTGAGAGGGGTTCCCACTGTGTGGTTCAGGCTGACCTTGAACTCATGATCCTCTTACAGCAGCCTCTGAAGTGCTGGAATTACAGCACACCACCATACCCAGCTGAACTTACCATCCTGTTCATTATGTCTCATTCCCCAGTAGTAGTACAGTCTGATAGTTAATGCTGGATCAAATAAGATTAAGATTTGGAATAGGATTATTCCAAGTAATCCATCCATAAAAATGCTTTGTTGGTCAAAGTGATAGGTACAAGTTTAAACAAAAATTTAAAGGAAAGCAAATAATTACTTTAGAAACTATTTTATTTTCACTTTATAAACTATTGTACAAGTGAAATTACCTTGACTTTTATTTTTAAATAGAAGGAAAGGACATGAAACAGCGATGAAAGAGCTTATTAGAATTCAAGCACCATTTCCACTGAAGCCTGCATATTTACACGTACGGGTTATCATTGGGTTGTACTGCAAACTCTGTCCATGAATCTTACCTTTTCCAATTCATAACAGAGAAGTAAAATGCTCTGTGACCCTAGGAAAGAAAAGTGGAAAATTTTTTTAAACTCAACTCTCTTATTGTTAATGAGGTGATCATTGCCTTAAAGCCCTCTGATTTCTCTTCTACTCATCTAGGAAATGGGTGTTGTTATTAATTGACTCTTTAGGCATTAAGAGTTAACAAGTTACTACTATACATTACTGTCCAGAAAAAGTCCAGTAATTTAATAATAAATATATTGAATGAATTTTGATTTCCAAGGGAATGAGGTTAGCAGTAATTCCTGTTGATAGTTATGCTAATTGAATGACAGAACGTGTGTGCAAGTATACAAAAGCTAATGTTATATGCAGGCCTCGTCCTGAGTGCTTTCCATCAGTTCACTGTTCTAACCTTCAAAATAGCTTCAGAGTGTGGAAACTATTCATGTCTCCATTTCACGGATGAGCAAAATGAAGCAAAGCAGGGCCATGTGCCCCTTTCAAGGTTACACAGCCAGCAGGGGGCACTGTTACAGTTCAAGCCAGTTCATCAGAGAAGGAAAGTATAATACTATCAGCTTCTACATTTGGGTGGATACATTTTACCAGTGAAGAGGATTTACTCATAAAGAAGCCAGGAGGGAGTAGTTTGAGTAATAACAATCTGTCCTTGTACAGTACAAACATTTTAGAAATGGCAACTAACTAGTCAGATTTGAGTATTTTATTTTTTAAAAATCAGAGTAAGTCCTGATGGAGTATGAAAGGAATCTGGAAAGAGAGAAGGAAGCAGGCTTATTAGACATGCAGTAGTAATCACATTAAATC